TTGAGGTGTTTGATGCCATTTTTGCTGAATAATTTATTCTATAATATTCGTATCTAACAATGGTTTCGATCATACACAACTTCTGTTGAGTTCATACTTACCGTCTCAAATCGAACTAAACTAATCTATACAACATGTATGTAACAAACATGTATGACTTCTCTTCTAGTGACAGCGTAATAATATCAAAATATATTAAAATCGATTAGTTTTAATTATGAATGACATGTTGAGAGTGTAGTTTTATCGGTTAAGTTCTTAAAATATATATTGTACAGTAGACTGGCCATAAGTTGTATGGGAAAAAATTTTTTTTTGATTTTTGTATGTTTCTGCTTGTTAAAATATTCCTTTTGATGATAAATTAAGGAAAATAAAATTTCAGATCGATAGCATTGTGCCAACCCGTGCCGAGTTGAGCTCAAAGTTGTAAAATTACCTCAATATAGAATAAGTCATCAAAATTACTACTTTGCTCGTAAAATATATTACTAACAGTTTTATTTCAGGAATATTTTTGACTAATTTAAATTATTTATATGTTTTCACCTAATTATACTCTATTTTGTTTGTTTTACTGTTATAGTTTTTAAAATTTTTCATGTTTTCGGCTTAGTAGTGACGATTTAGTATCAGATGAATACATGTGTCGATAATATTCAACAACTTGCAATAAATACTGTTTGTCTTTTTCGTCATATGTTAAAGCTCGGCTGAAGTCAGTGATTAACTTAACAGCTCTTTCTGCTGGATCGTTTACAACTGTCAGGTTTTTACAAATTTGCAGGCCAGAAGAATAATCACCTCTTTCAACCCATGATGACGGGTCGTACTTTAAAAAATCGGAGCTAATTTCCAATCGAAGAAAAAATTGTTTCGTCTTACAAGTAACAAAATAGCTGAGATCCTTATCTTCGAGCTTCATTATGTCTTCGATTGTCGTTTCGAATTTTTTTGAACATGGAATATCGTCATCTTTAGTTTTTTCCAAAGTCTTAATCATCTTTCCTTTAGTATCCAGTGGAACTTCAGAGTCTAAAAGTGCTGAGCCAACTGCTTCTTCTGACAAATACCACAAATGATTTTTGAATTTTTCTAATAAAACCGCTGAAATTCGTTTATCAAAATACTGGATTGCATCTTTAATTAGTTGTAAATCCTTACGTGGCGCTTCAATTGCGTGCTGGCATGTTAACCAATACTGTATGTAATAGCGAGTTAGAAAAATACAAATATTGCGTATGGCGTTTAATTCTTTTGCCGTCAGCAAAATGCTTAAAAATTAAAATTTCTGGAGCCGATGAGATACCAAAATTCAGTTCAAAAACAGCTTTTAGAAATATTTCGCTGATATGACGGCAGCATGAGGAAAAAGTAATTCACGCCCCAATTTCTGCTCGAGCAAAAAGGCGGCACCCTTGTGAATACCAGTATTAGAACTTGTTGTATCAAAGCAAATAAATTCAACTAAGTTGTCTAATTCCCAAGTAATTAAAAATTGATCAATTGCATGTGCGATTTTGTTACCAGTGCTGTTATCTAGTTTCGAAATACCAAGTATATTTTCGGTTTTTTCTCCTGTGACGACAAGAGCAGGTCGATCAACCTTTTCTTTACCCTTCATTTCTGGTAGAAGTTTTCCATCCCAATGGAATACAAAAACTTGAGGGATCTGCAATTAAATATCTTAAATAAAACTTAAAAAGTAAAAACTTTAACTAATTTACATCGAAATTCTTCAAAATATCATGTGCTTTTCTGCGTCGGTATTCTTTTCTCATCAAGTGGACAGTTGTATGATTCAGAACAAGATCTTCTACGCGATGACCTAAAGCAGCTGCTGTTGCACTTATGAAATGAATCGCATCTCTAGTAGAAATTTTAGATTTATCCATTCAAGCAAGCATTCTATCTAATTTTTTATCAATGCCTGCTATGGTTCCTGGTCGGCCTTTCTTTCTTTGTTGAATCAAGAAATCTTTATCTTCTTGGATATTCATTGTTTTAACAGCAGTAGGTACTGCGATATCGAATATAAAATGTTCTATCTTTTCACGGAACTTTTTTTCTCTGATTGATTGACGTACAATTTTTGTAATTTTTTTTGGCAATTAGATTCAGTTAGAGTAGGAATACGAGCCTTTTGCCAAAATGGTAATACGGAATCAATCACATTTCTAAAACTTCGTTTCAAGGTCTTGTGTTCAACACGAATTTTATAGAAAAGCAGTTGAAGTAACATATTTGCTTCATTGACGGCAAGTTTGCTCCAAAGATTTCACTTTCACATTTTCCTATTAAAAATACCATATATTATCATCATCGGATCTAACCCGCTTTAGAGATGATTTTGATTGCAAAGATGAAACGGAATCCATATCAATTCAGATTAATTTTCCCAACGTAAATGATCAATTATCGTTAAACTTTTTTCTCATTGTCAATTTGACAGTCAATAAACAACTATAACAGCAATGTTACTACTCAGCTTTCGTAATTCGAAATTCATGTCAGTGTTGCAATTTTTACTTCGTATCAAAAATTATGTAGGTAATATAAACAGACGTAAGTGAATTCAATATCATAACGTAAAAACATTTAAATAATGTAAATTAGTCAAAAATATTCCTGAAATAAAACTGTTAGTAATATATTTTACGAGCAAAGTAGTAATTTTGATGACTTTTTCTATATTGAGGTAATTTTACAACTTTGAGCTCAACTCGGCACGGGTTGGCACAATGCGATCGATCTGAAATTTTATTTTCCTTAATTTATCATCAAAAGGAATATTTTAACAAGCAGAAACATATGAAAATCAAAAAAAAATTTTTTGCGGCCACTCTATTGTACAGTTATCTAAATTCTTAATTTATAAAAAATAAAGATCATTACTTATATCAAAACTATTTATTAAATTTTTACCGAAGAATATTTTACTGTTTTATTATATCACTACCAACAATGAGACTAATTGGTTCAAATATGAGTATATAGTAGTTACCATAAACTTATGTTGATGGTTTACTCACAACCTCATCTGGTATATATGGGCTTTGTACTTTTCAACGTAGCATACCTTAATTTAGTGTTCATAAACGCATGAACAGTATTGGCTCGATTATTTGTACAATTGTTTCCACAAAGTAAATTCAAAATATCGATTTGTCGGACCAATAAGAGTGGTGAAAAATTACTATAATTTAGATTTCTTTTTGGAATTATATATATTATTTCAATGTATAAGTTAATTCAGATGTATTTATTTATAAAAATATGAAAAGGAATGTAAGAAAATTTAATAAGACTCTTGTGAAATATCGCTCCAGTATTATAGTATGTTTCCACTTCTCATTTAGTAAGTGTAACATACTAAGTAAATTTCTTTAACCATACAAAGAGCTTCCGCGCTTTTAAACTTACTTAAAAATAAAGAAAGGAAAGTTAAACCAAAGTCTAAAGTTACATGTCGAATATAACCCTTAAAAATAAATTTCCTATAAGGGAAATTACTAAAATTTGAAATATTTGTGATATGTTTTATATGTAAACTGTAATCATTCATATTGAGAAAGTAAGTATTTAATAAAATCTTTATTTTTATTAATTGAATATGTAATTTTAATATTTAATATATATATCAAGATTTAATATATCAATAATATATTTAATTTGTTCTGGCATGTTATTGACTGAAATTTTTCTAAACAAACAGAAGTTCTCTTAAAACTTTCAAAGACACATAAAAGCTCCTAGATATGCATCAAATAACTTATGTCAATGGAAACGATGAAATCTTTAAGTTGCTTAAGTAGCTTGCTAAGTAAGCAGTGGAAACATTACCTGCTTAATAACATATTATTGTTTTTAGTTAGACAGATTTGAATAGCAAAGAAAAGACAAAGACAAAAATTTATTGAAAATTAATTTTTGTAGTTGCCTATTTTTGTTTCAAAGCTATTTTCTTGTAGAGACAACTGTTATGCATACTTTTTACTTACTATATGTAACGCGATTTTTTTGGGTGCAATTTTACAAAGAAGCTATACAAATGTTTCTCTACAAGTTCGCTAATCGCGATAAGAAAGAGCTAAACAATATTATTGTTCATATTTCTTATCATTCTAATTTTTAATATTAATTTTTCTTTGCAGATTCTTGTTTTTAATTAGTATATAATATATTAAAGTTTTCCATAATGGAAAAGAAATTTTGTTCTGCATAGACAATAGATTATGTTAGAGAATTGGAATGGTACTTAGAATTATTTTCAATTTTTTTCGTATACATTAGGTATTAAATTTTTATCACTTAAGTCGTCATTTAGCCATTGATAAGTTCGCTCTGGTAACTGTAGTCTTAAATCAGCCGGTTTAAAGGAAAATCATTTTCAAACTTCAATTCTACAATATAGAAAATTTTGTATCAAACATATTATGAGAATTTTATTTAACTATTTTATGTTCATAATTCATTTGTCCGAATTATGAAGTCAACAATAAAAATTTATTTTCGTGTCCAATTTAACTAATTTACAGTTAAAATATATATGTATTGCCACTATATTTTTCTAATGTATTCTGACAAACTAAACTAGAAAATCACGTCAAAAACTTTCTTAAGGATACGTTTTAGCGAGTTCAGATAACAGATCCGATACTCAGTATTTACATTCAGTACTCAACATTCAGACTGTTTCTACTGCAAATAGAAAAAAAGTGAACTATCGTCATCTTACATTTGTAAGGTTTTGATAATAATGTATGTATCCCAAAATTTTATATATTGATATATATTATATGATGAAATATATTATATATTTATATATTTTATATATTAACCATAATTTAAAAAAACTTTATGCGGAGTAGTAAAAATTAAATCGAATTTTGATGAAGAATTATGAATAACTACCTGAATAGGTTACTTGCTTCGTTTATATATACATAAACCCCATTATAAGGAAATAAAATATCAATATTTTATTTTATTCATCTCTTATTTATTATCAATATTCAACCGAAAACACATTTCATAATTACAGAAGATCAATTTAAATGTTTTTTTTATATTATTATTTTCTTTTCAATTTATTTTTTTTTTTGATAAACGTACATTTATACCACCTTTAGCAACTAAGACTACACTATAATTATCGACTTCAATTTCGGTAGGTTTATCTCTTATTTCAATTTCAAAATTTGTTAATATTTGAGCAATGGCCACTTTGGCATTTAATTTACCCATGCGTTGAGCTAAAAAAGTTTTTTAAGTTATATTATAATTATAGTACACATATACATATAAAATTCAAACAAAAAACTCATTACTACTTACCAATGCAATGATGAGGTCCTTCGCCGAAAGGCATATAACCGACAGGATTGTAGTTCATGTTTTCTTCTAAAAACCGTTCTGGATCATATCGCAATGGATCAGGAAAATACTCTGGATCACGATGTATACCAAATAGAGAAATAATTATTCCAGTTCCTTTCTTAATGACCATTTTTGAATTTGGTATTTGATAATCTTCTGTACACTCACGATTTAATATGGGTAATCCAGGATATTTACGTACAGTTTCTAAAACAAAATTGTAATATTAATAACTAACAACTGATATCTTGGGTTTATGTTATATATACCCATAAGACACAAATCTAAGAATTTCATATCCTGTAGACATTCATAACTCAGTTTGCCTTCATACTTCGCTAATGTTTCCTCCACTTCTCTGTTAGCTTTTGCTAAAAGTTCTGGATATTGTGATAGTTCGTAAATTGTAAAAGAAATTACAGATGATGTTGTATCAAAACCACCCAAATAGAAGATGAACAATTGCGCAGCTATCATTTCCACAGACATGGATTTAAAAGCATCTGTATAATAAAATCTCTTTAGTTTGTGTTTTGCAACAACATTTGAAGATAATTAAATTAACCTGCTGCTGTTTCAACGGACCATTCATTATCGTCTGTATTTATCTTGCCAGCATTGCGGAGTTGTAGTAATAATTGAAGCATATCTCGACGAATAACATTATTATTTTCTCTATATTCAATAGTTTTACGTGCGATATCCTTCATTGTTTCTGATGCTTCGTCACGACAACCCAACATTACAAAAAACTTTTCTAAGCTAAAGTTTTAATAAATTTTATAACTTATAATCAATTGTCTACATTTCTTAATACTTACTTTGGATATAAGACTGAGCAAGTACCTCTTAAAACACTTTTAAATGTCGGTTGATTAGCTGTATAGCTCACACTATAGAACAAATTATTCGGGTCTTCAAAACTATTTGTTTCTAAACCAAATATAACTGAAGCAATTATATCAACAGCGTAACTATAAAAAAACTTATTATTGCTACTATATTACACAAGTTAAGTAAAAAGTTACGTTGAAGAAATTTCTTTTAATTCCACTTCAGCAGATCCATTATCAGGTAAAATGTTGTTCAAATGATTAATCATTCTATATGATGTTTCCTCTATGGTACCAAACATGCCTTTTAATTTTCCTGAAGTGAAAGAAGGTGCTAATTTTGTACGTAAAGTTTTCCACTTTGATCCCTTTAAGGCAAATAAAGTAGCTGACATTGGATTCTTCTCTTCATCTACATAAACGCCACGATCGTGAAAACTATTGAAGTCCTTAGTCATTACATCACGTGCTAATTGTGCATCTCGTACAAGTAAGGCAGGGCGGGTTAATAAGTAAATTCCTACAACTTTTTCCTTTGAGCTTTTGTAAGCGTCATATATCGCCATCCCAAAAGAACGTTGGCGTTTTACAACGGAATACAACACGCCTAATGGGGTTTTTGCCTCAATGTAGGGAAATCCTTTACGTTGCCAATGTGTATAATTCCATCTGAGGTAGACAACTAATAGAGTTGACGCGGCAAATAACAATAAAAGCAGCATTTTAAAAAATCTCTAACCATTTAAAGTAACCACAAGTTCCAAACACTTCGCCTGTTTGTTAGATACTAAAACAATATTCATTGATATACCCCAGTAATACTGTACGTTTTTATAATAGTTGTCAGTACTGATAACACTTCAATACAATCTGCTCGGGACTTAACTTGATCATTTATAAAGCTGATTTGTTTATTTATTTTTATCGCCATAGACAATGACTTAACGGTTTTTGTTTATAGTAAGAAGTGTTTATAAAGTGTGAGGTTGCAACTAGCTTCCATACAAGTTCAGTTCTGTTTTTGCTGGTCATTGTTGGTTTCATATACATTTTGATCAATACAAGTAAGTTTGAAACAGTATTGAGGTGTTTGATGCCATTTTTGCTGAATAATTTATTCTATAATATTCGTATCTAACAATGGGATCGATCATACACAACTCTTGTTGAGTTCATACTTACCGTCTCAAATCGAACTAAACTAATCTATACAAAAAAATAACAACAATTATTACATAGTATATATTTTGCAACCTGCATGTAACAAACATGAATGATTTCTCTTCTAGTGACAGCGTAATAATATCAAAATATATTAAAATCGATTAATTCTAATTATCTTATAGATTTTATGTACAATATCGCATAGAATCGCTGTAACTTCTTATGTATCTACTGTATATTTAATAAGCAAAATTGTATAGTTTAAAACGTACATGTTCTTCTGTAGATTTTTTAATGTTTCTTTTGCTACTATACCATTTGATCAAAAAAAATCGAGAGTTTAAAAAGAACGCAAAATTTTAATTTTTAATAATTTTTTTTATTATCGCCTTCAAAGTACTCTCCTCCTGCGGCAATACATGCATGCCAACGCTTGATCCAATTTTCCATATATAAAATCCACGAGTTTTCCTTCCATAAATGTGGCTTTTTTTTGCGAATGGCCTCACGCAAACGACGCATAATGGTAAAATAATACTTTTTATTAACCGTTTGACCGTCCGGAAGGAATTCATAGTGCACCACACCACAAATATCGAAGAAAACAGTCAGTATAACCTTGATTTTGATCCGACTTTGGAGTTCTCTTTTCGGTTTCGGCTCACCTTCGAAGCACCATTCGGTCGATTGTTGTTTGGTGGTCATGTCAAATTCATAGACCCATGTCTCATCACCAGTTATGATGCTTTCGATGAATATGGGGTCACTATCTGCGTTGGAAATCATCTCTTTGACCACATCACAACCATGCTTTTTTTGAATGAAATTCAGCTAAAAATCACCACACGAAAATTTTTCGACTTGTTTGTATAGACGCCAAACAAAAACTAATCGTACGATATGCGTTAAACTTTGACATAATGTGTATAATAGTGTTGCCAGCGTGAAAATAAAAAAATTTACCGATTGGATAAGCACGGGAACTTATTCGTTCTTTTTTGATCACAAATAACAATAAAAGCAGCATTTTAAAAAGTCTCTAACAATTTAACATAAAGTAACCACGAGTTCCAAACACTTTGACTGTGTGTTAGATACTAAAACAATATTCTTTGGTATACCCCAATAATATTGTACGTATTTATAATGGCCGTCAATACTGATAATACTTGAATAAATCTGCTTGGGACCCATAGACAATGAGTTAACGGTTTTTGTTTATAGTGAGAAGTGTTTATACAGTGTGAGCTTGCAACTAGCTTCCATACAAATCCAGTTCTGTTTTCACTAGTCATTGTTGGTCATTACTTTTTGATCAATACATACAAGTTTGAAACAGTATTGAGCTGTTTGATGCCATTTTTGCTGAATAATTTATTCTATAATATTCGTATCTAACAATGGGATTGATCATACACAACTTCTGTTGAGTTCATACTTACCGTCTCAAATCGAACTAAACTAATCTATACAAAAAGTAACAATAATTATTATATAGTATTTATTTTGCAACCTGCATGAAACAAACATGTATGACTTCTCTTCTAGTGACAAAATATATTAAAATCGACTACTTCTAATTATTTTATAGATTTTATATACTATATCGCATAGAATCACTGTAACTTATTATATATCTATTGAACATTTAATTAGCAAAATTGTATAGTTTGTACAGTACATGTTTTTCTGCGGATTTTTCAATATCTCTTTTGCTACTATATACCAAGTGTATATTTTTTGCGGTTCTTTTTGGTATAGAAAACATGTAATTTTCAAGGAAAATTAGTTTTTTGCGACATATCATTGCTTAAATGGTTTTCAACTTCCTCGAATTTGCTAAAATGCTGCTTCTTGAACACATGCCTCAATGATGTAAAGAAGTAGTAGTCAGATTACTGTGGAGTATGGTGGGTGTGGAAGGATGTCACGTTCAGGTAATTCAAGATATCTTTGTCCGTTTTTGCTATGTGAGACGGCACATTGTTATCTAACAAAACCACTTTCCCATGTGTTCTGGCCCATGCGGTGGTCTTTTCATCAATTTCAACAGTTTTGTATTAACGGTTTTGCTGGGCTTCAAGAGTTTATAATACACAATATCGCTCTAGTCCCACTAGACATAAAAGATGGTCTTTTTTTCGAAGCGATTCAGTCTTGTTGTGGAAGTACCGGGTTCGTCAGGTAAAAGCCACGATTTCATCCGTATTGGGTTTTCAAAATAAATCTATTTTTGGTCACCCGCTTCGACATAAAAATGTTTTTTTCTTGAGGCGTTTAAGTAACATTTCACAAGTAACTGCGATTTTTCATTCAAGTATATTATTATACAAAATAATATACGGAAATGAATATGTATATTCTCTACAATTTTATGTAAATTTGACTTGTTTCAAATCCCATTTGCTTGAAAAAGCCATAATTTAAACATAATTAAAGGAATATTCAATGTTCTGTAAAAGAATATTTAATAGACTGACATACGATATATCAACTATATCGTATACAAATATCGACTGGTATAAGATATTTCTATATTTAATTTTTGAGATATATTTGGACTGATGTTATTTTTAAGTAGATACCCATATATCTGTATATATTAGAAATAGACCGACTACGAGACAATTATTTTCACTTCTTAAGGCAACATTAACAACAGGATTGTCTACGAACATATATATTTAAATATTTTTAGTATATCGTCAGCGTATGCCTTAAAAAGGTAAGAAAACTGACTTGTTGGTTTTTATACTATATATATCATCTAGATTATATATATTAATTTTAAACACTAAAAATAAGTTTAGCCATTGTAAACTACCTATTAAAAGGATCTTGAATACTCTCATTCATAAATTATACTTGTACGTAAATGATATTTTCCCGTTATTATATATATTACATTATATACTATAAATTTATCTAAGCTGGAACAGTTTTCGAGGCTTATTATATTCCAGTTCGCTTATAGAGCTTTATAACCTAACTTGTTATAAGAACTGTTACAACTTTACGAATAACAAGGAAACTAGGAATGTAGGAACAACTGGACAATATAGGTTAAACTATTATCTAAATAAACTAGAAGTGTGGACGAATAGAGATTTTATAAAGATTTTACATTTCACAAGATGATGACCTAAAACTCAGACAAAGAAAATATATACTACTCTTAATTATAGATGTAGAATTTAAAGAGCCACTAAAAATATATGCAGTATGTTCAATAAACATAAAAATCGCAATTCTATGGCCCATAATAATATACTAATATACTTATATTATAATCTACAAATAATTTTTTATTTATCATTATATCCTAGTTTGTAGTGTACAATATTATTTAAATTTTAAATTTAAATTTTATTTGACTATTTCCAATTATGTATTAAGAAAAACAAAACTTAAACTTTCGGATCTCGGAACGGAGTTGTGTTTATTTTGAGTCTGTGTCAAGTTCGGGTGCAAAATTTGAGACTCAAACATAACACATGGAGTGGATTTGAAATAATATATATTTTTAATAAACTTCCTTCAAAACGCACATTTCGATGTAATCTTATTAATTAATTATTTTATTTACTTAATTTTCACATAATTGATATCTGAAACGTTTCAAAAGTGCATATATATATTTATATTTCCTTGTATTGAACTGATGTTATGTTTCTAGTAATCGGCAAATATTAAATATCAAAAATCAAGTCACCCGAGAAAACATCTGAACATAGAAACTTCAAATTAACTTTAAAACATTTTGTAAATATCACATACTAAATTAATTAATATTGTTATGGGCGATTCTGAAGCTGATGTAAGAAGGAAAGCCAAAAAAGCCATGGAAGACGCTGAAGCAGATCTTAAAGAAAGAATTTCAAAGGCAATCCGTACAAAAAAACAGGAAGAACGTGAAACAGAATTTTCCGGCGCCATTGACAAATGTACAACTGATCTTATGGTGAAAGGTACAGGAGGTTTGGTAATCGGTACCTTGGCTTCTATTTTGATTGTGCGGCGTCGTGTCTTTCCTATCATTTTAGGATTAGGATTTGGAGTGGGTATGGCTACAGAGGCATGTATCACCAAAATGAACGCGGTGCCAGCTAGATCTCGCCGCTAAAGATATTCGTACTGCTTGTTCCAGTAGCTGCCGTTTGGATGAATAAATAAATACTTAAATTATATTATTCCCAATGTAAGTTGCTCTTGAAGTTAAAATACATTTGTCCAAAAATATACTATTTTCTTTGTCTTAGATCAAAGTTCAAATTTTTATGTCGCTGTGGTGTCGTAAATTTTTCTGTCCTATTTCAGTTTGGTAATAATCAAATACTGGATAAATTGTTATGCAAAATATTTTTATTTCTAATAAAGTTTTTATGATTAACACACATGTTTGGAGAAATTATCTTAAACTGTAACTAAAAAGGTATTAAAAATGCATTACGATATTTGTAGGTATTTAAGTATTCGACTCATTATCTGCAGGATGAAACGTTCGCTCATGGCATTTGTTTACGCTCTGCAATTGCCAGGGCATAAACCAACAACACTAGCACCTCTAGACCGTTTTCATTGAACCCAAATAGTTCTTGGAAAATGAATAATATAAAAGAATATTTTTATTCTTTAATATATGCCAATTAGTTCCAATCAGCTTACAATACTTTCTTCAAATAGTTTGCATATTATAATAATAATTTTAGCTTCCTAGTAAAAACAGCCCTTGCTATTAGTTTAAAGCTATTGTCAATATAAGAAAAAGGTAATAATATCATTCAAAGAAGAATTTCCACCCTTTTAATTCATAATACACTGCACCTTCAAGTCATAGCTGGCGAACCGGGCTATAACTATGATCTAAGGTTTCATCTTAGTGCTTGTTAAACAATATTGAAAGTTGATCTTCTAACAGTTTACCTATTTGGTCCCACTTGCTTTTCTAAATTTCTTGTTTATGTTAAACTTATTAAACCTACAGCTTAATATTGTATATTTTTTGAGGTCATCATATAAGCAAGACACATCTTAGAGACTGGTTTTTAAAAATCTTATTTGATTGCAGTGGTCCTCTTCATTGTTTTACTTTAAAAAATAGAATTTGGTTATATAGCTGCAGTTACATATCTCTTTAAGTTAAATAAAGGCACCTCTAGTCTTATTAATTGTAATAATAATATCCGCTTTTTATGTTATACTGCTTTTAAAGTATATTATTGATTGCAAACATTCTATTTTCTCTGTTTTTAAATCTATGGAAGTGGAAGAGACAACTTCATAATCGCTGCTCATGTATTTACTTTTTCCATTAGTAATATCTTGGTATATTGTGGATATATTTCTGAAGTTGCACCATCGTTCTAAGTTGAGTTTCTTGGACTTTAATTCAGCATTTCTTTCAAATTGAATAAAAGTACATCTGGTCTTTTTGATTCTAGCACCAACAACTTCCTGTTTCTCGCATATTCTTGTTATAATGCTTTCGAGATATATTATTGATTGCAAACATTCTAACTCCCCGATTTCTGATTAAATGGAAAAAAATGATGAAACTGTATATCCGCCACTCATGTTTTTACTTTTAGCCTTACTAATTTCTAGATATATAGCGAATATATGGCTTACCAATATCTAGAAGTATTATAGATATATGGTTCTAATTTCACCATTACTCTAAGTTGGACTTGTGAACTTTTATTCTAATTTTATTCCATGTTGAATAAGAGTACATCTGGTATTTTTGATTCCAGCAATAACATTTTCCTCTGATTTGCTTTTATTTTTAATCCTACTTTTTAGTAATGTTATTGATTAAAACATTCTAGCTCCTAAGTTTCTTACCGAATGGAAGTAGAAGATCCTGTTCCATACTCGCTGCTCATGGTCTCACATTTTTCCTTACAAATTTCTAGATATATGGGGAATATATGGCATACTAATATCCTGAAGTATGGTGGCTATTTGGTTGCAGTTCCATCATCATTCTAATTTGGATTTATGGTTTTTTTGTTGAACTTTTGTTTCAAATTTAATAAGAGTACATCTAGTCTTATTGATTCTTAAAATCATTAATATCATACTTCGTAGTAATGGTATTGATTAAAACATTTTAGCTCCTAAATTTCTTACTGAATGGAAGCATAAGATCCTGTTCCATACTCTCGGCTTATGATCTTTCATTTTTCCTTACTAATTTCTAGATACATGGTAAATGTATTGCAATAATTCCATATCCTTTTAAGTTGAATAAAAGTATCTCTAGCCATATCTCATGTTTATGTTCTTATTTTTTCTCTCTCACCAATTTAACGACCCATTCGTAAAGAATTTGCGTACTCTATTCTGGTGGGTATGCAACTATTCTATAGTAGACATAAATCATGTCTCTTGGATAAACTGAGTGTTATGATAAAATATAAACATTTAAGGAGAAGACTTGACTTTTTAAAATAAATGGTCTTAAAGCATTGAATTATTCTATTGATAGCGTTCATAAGTGTCTATCTTAAAATCACGAACTTCTTAAAATTATTCTAAATAATTTTAAATATATTAAATAAAAAACAAAATTATTTTTATAATATTATTTCAATTTATTTACATTTAACTGAAAAATATAAATAATAAAAAATTATTAACAGATCGTTCTCTTATATTTTTTGCTAGACCCATCAACTCTTCAAAATTCTCTTAGCTTTAATTACTGCTTAATAATTTTCTCTTTATTGTTTATATATGTTTCTGTTTCCCCATGACTCTTCGGTATGATTGTTATTTTCATTTATTGGTGTTTGCCTTGATTTTGATGAAATTTTTTCACAGATAGCCGGCAAAGTCATCATCAGTTCCCGCACCGAAGCGCACGTACGAAGTGCTTAAAAGTTTTATTGCAGAAATAATTTGTTGAATGTTCTTTTCAAGCCGCATAAGATAATTATATTTACTTTACTTTTTGTATGCGTGCCTCGATAATAAAAAAATTAAACATACTTTGGTTGGTGCTTTGTGAGATGTATCTTGTATCTTGTATCTTAAATGGCATAAGATGAAATGTCAATCTTTTAAATTATTTTCTTTAATTGAGAGTTCTTAATTAAATGTGTTCAAAGTGCATTTGTTAAAAACTTTGCGTAATTTATTCGTTGTCATTATTTAACTAAAAAAAGCAAAACATAATAAACAAAGAAAAGGTGAAAGATTCAAAATTTTACTTAAAAAATTTCGTATTTTCTACGTATCTATCGAATGTGTGTGCTTATGTTACTCGTGATATCTGAAGTTATTAAACGTGAAAGTGTTTTCTTCCCTTTTCTTTTAACGTCAGTGCCAAAACAAAATTAAATTTCTACATTTTTAGATATATAATTGTATATATATTTCAAGTACTAACACACAACTGCAAATTTGCAACATTTTTAGAATCGTAGAAGCAGTTCATGTGAGTATCTGCAGTAATTTCTATGTGTAAATCATTTCCACTTTCTGCATCAAAGGTAATAAAATGCCAAATATCTGACACATGAAAGAAAAATTTAATTGTGTAGATTCAATTTTTAGTCAAAATATATTCTGCATTTGTATTGTGATCAAAATTTCATTATCCAAATGTTACACATTGCCGAGGTGTTATTTACTCAAAAAAGAAAATTTGGTTAAAGAAAATCTTATTCAATTATTTCAATGACTTGTAGTTTTTTTTTTTTCTTTTAATTTTTTAGTAAAATTATTTCTAATTATTTGCTTGGTAGGAAAAAACGTTATAAATTTATATTAAACATAATAAGTTTTAAAAAAAATTAAAAAAAAAAAAATAATTAAAATAATTAAGTAAATTAGTTAAAAAAGAAAGCATCTTTAATAAATTGGATATTTAATTAAAAAGCTGAATAGCAACTGAATTATTTTTTAACTGTCTTTAGCTAAATAATTTTTTTTTCTATTATTAATTATGTTGAAAACCCAATTACCGATCATTTAATTATGTTTGAATTATTTAATTTTTTAATTATTTTTCTAAAATATTTTATTAAGTTAACAAATCGTAATGCTACTATATATTTTGCTTTTGATCATTTTACATTAAGTAGAGTAAAGAAAAATTCATTATTTTCCCAATATATAGGTTTAAATATCTGAATTCCGCATTGTATAAGTCCGCTACGGTTACACTAGATGACGTTAGTAAAATAAGATATCGTACTAAAAAAACTTTTGACAGTTTGATAATTGGTTGACTCAGTTCTGTTTGAGCTAAGAGAAAATACGACTTATTTTATAGTTTTTCTTTGATAAAGGCGAAAACGTAAACCAGGCGCAGCTATAGATATAAGTATATTTATGGTCCTGATACTGTAACAGTTAATCATGCGCAATTTTGGTTTAGTCGATTCCATTCCGGTACTGTTTCGATTGCACAAGCCTGACCTATTTCTGAAGCGTTTGTTGACTGGTGATGAAAAGTGGATTACTTACAACAACATCAACTGAAAACGGTTGTTATCGAATCGCTGTGAACCGGCTAAAACGATGGCGAAGCCAGGATTGAAGGCTTGTTAACAGGAAGATTTTGCTGTGTGCTTGATGTGATTGGTTGGATTGATTGGAATTATCTTCTATGAGCTGCTCCCCTACTACAAAATTCTTAACTCGGAATTATACTGTCAACAATTGGACCACCTGAAGGAAACAATTGCCAGACATGGGCAGCTTTGTACAATGGGACAGAAATTGTATTCCATCAGTATAAAAGCCAAAATTTTCGGGAGCTTGATTGGAAAGTTATTATGCGTCCACCTTATAGTCCAGACCTGTGACTAAGTGATTACCATGTGTTTCTGTGCATGGCGAATGATTTCGCTTCAAGAAAGTCTTGTAAAAAACAACTGTCTCAATTTTTTACCAATAGAGACAAGAATTTCTATGAGAGAGGCATAATGAAATTATATTCAAAATAGCAACAAATTATCAAACAGAACGACGCATATTTGACCTAAATCGGCCCATCCTAGCTATTCTTTTTGCGTTCATGCAAAAAGAATGGATTTGTTTTTCCTAGACCTATTGATATAATTCAGTATAAGATTACCTTGTTGTGAATTAAGCAATAGAACAGGACTAATTTAAGTATTACCAACACCTTTGGTGCAATTACTATAGTGTCTGCTATCTTCTATTGAATTCCATATGAATAACGTTTATGGTGACATTCTGCTCAAAGTATTGAGAAATACAACTGCTCACAGCGGTACTGTTAAATAATGTTAATTGCTCAATGCTAATATATCTCGCAATTTAGTAACCTATTGTCTTTGAACAATTAGAAAAGAATTAAATAAACTTTATAACTTTACTGCATTGAAAGTAAAAAAACTTTCTGCCGCACTGGGTGTTGCATTACTGCGCTCATCCTTATAATATTTGGTATGATTGGGGCGATATTTCACCATTATTGTATCCTCAATTCTATCTAATGTAAATACGACGTGGATAGAACATAAAAATTTGTAAGTAAAATATATTTGTCCAACGTGATAGTGATTGTTTTAAACCGTTTTCACTAATTTACTTGAATTTCTAAAACTAAATAACAGATATACATATATTGCACAACCGTAAGTTTGTTTATCATTTTGTTTTTTCCTTAGAAATATAAAAGTTATTCCAAATTTATTTTCTCAGTTGCCATATTTGTACCACATAACTTGTTTATAAAATGTAGTATAGTAAATTGTTGAATATGCAAAAAGAAACAAAAGTTAAATGTTATCTGTTTTAAAAGTATCCGGAATATGCACTTAATATACCTAGAATAGTTTTATTCCATACGCAAACCCAAAATTTCTAAAATACAACTTTATAAGAATTGTATGTGTATATAGTATTTTATTTATTATAACTTATAATAAATATCGCGATCGCAATATTTTTAAATTTGTATACCTATATTCTATCATTATCTCTTCTCAAGCAATTTACAAGTATTATGATCGCATGGCATTTATTATATACTGCCTGCTGACTATAGGTGTTATTTGTTTATTTTGTTTTATATTTGACTGAAAATAATATTTTTTCAAATTTCTTTTTTATTCCAATATTATTCTAATTTGAAATGTGCCTACTTAGAAAATAATAAGAAAATGAAATGATAAGCTTTAGTACAATTTAAAACCCATGTGTCAATAATTTTTAAATAAAATATATTTACTTCATCATATTTAGAAAGCAACTTATAGTACCTCTATAGCTAACATTTTTAGATAATTTTGTAAATTGTCTTCATATATCTTTCACTTTAACTATGTATTTTTTCTTTCAGATACCATAACCTCAAATTTCTGTAAATAGTATGTTTTGCCACAAATCAGCTAATTTAATCACTGCTAATTTAAGAGTCTGTGACTGAAACCGATTGATTTCTTAGATATTTGAATTCCAAGGCCCCATATTTTTACTGCATAGTTCGAGTTAGATTTAGTGAAGGATATAACTTATTTGACTTAAGAACCAATTCTCAACTTAGTATATCTATCTCAGGATAAGAATAAGAAAGAACAGGGTATTAGCTCCCATTTGAGCAGAGCACCGCGACCATGATTGATCTTTTGTGCTACAACAGACCCTAACTGTTCTATCTCAGGATAGTTTGACCCAAATTTTTTATTTCAGTACTACTATGTTCTTATCAAAGTGTTTGAATTCCCAATTTGATATTGGTCTATATACAAAGATCTAAATTCCAAAATAGAGTTTTAGCCTCTTGTCGTATTGAATTATGTATGAACAATGCAGTATACATCTTTAAAAATATATACTGGGCTATATATAATGATATATCTCCCATTGATTTTTTAACAAAAATATTGCTTAACTATGATCTCTTAAAACCAACAAATTTTTGATGTTTGGCAAATAGTAAAGCTGGTACCCGGACCTCTCTTTCTATAAAGTGTTTCTCTTCAAAAAATGACTAATGAGTTCTCTCTTCATATGTGCAGATTTTATTTTTTGATCCAAAACTAGATAAATTCATTTATAGTCTAATAAAAATATTTATTTGTTTATTATAAAACTTAACACTTAGTACAAAACAATAAATTACATATCTAGTGTAAATACAGAACTATGGAAACAAATGCACACACCTGGTAAAAAAAAATAATTGTGATACTACAAATAATGTAAAATTAATTTAAATTTGACTAATGTGTATTTTGAAAGTTTGCATAATTAAGATTAAAGAGACTTAGTTTTTTCTAATTAACATCAGAATTATTAAGCAGTTAGTATATCACTGACATGCTTTTCCGAAAAATTGTGGATAACCTTTTAAGTAGCATAAATACGTACATTTTAAATGTACGGAACCTTCTCAAATTGAAAATTTGTCTATATTATCTAGATGTAGCTGCTTTGAGTACTGTTCAAACCTAGTTACGACAACGCAACTTACTCAAAATTTAGGTTTTGTTAAAAGATGGTAAACCTTATAATTAATGATATATTACAATTTAGATATGTATACTACTATGATGTAGAAAAACGAATTCATCTTTAGCTGAATGTTATTAAAAAATAATAATAATATTGAAAAATAATAAACATACTGTAAATGGATATTCAGCCCGCCAGGAAAGGGGTTAGAATACTCTTGAGGCAATGCGTGCCAGTCGTAAGTCGAACTGTACACGCTAATGTTTGAGGGAATATTGTTAACAAAGAATTTTTGAAAGACTAAATACATAAGAGTCCTAAAAATTTGGATCAGAGATTGCACTGATCATATTAACATAGAATGTCAGTCTTTAAAATTTAAAGCTTATTCATTAATACAGCAATTAAGTAAACTTAAGGACTACAGTTGTAACAGGAATAATATGCTATGGGTTTGCGGTGGAGGGTTTCCGAATGTGGTTGCTTTACCCAAACATGATATACTAAATTTACCCTAAATTTCTATCTGCTATTTATTAATGATAATTAATATATATATGGTATAAAAGATAATTAAAGAAACATTAGTTAGCTAACAATATTAGTTAGCAACGAAAATTCTAACATGAACACATTTCAAAAGTATCTGAAACTGGTCAATGCTCAGACAAGTGAATCATTATATAATATAGATTATCGCGAACTGAAATGCTTGTTTGTTTAATGGACTAAGTGCTAAATATTTCGAAAATATTTCTCTTATCAAATGTATCCGCCTACATTTAGCATTCCAGTATTTTTATGTTCTTTTGCTTACATTTCATGACTTACCTACATAAAAATATGCTTATAACGAAGAGAATAAAAGTATTTGTGATACATAAAACGAAATTCTGGTTTCCGCTTTAGGCTTTTCGCATAAGGTTTAACGTTTATTGACCTTATGAACCAAAAACCAATACAAACTAATCGATACCTGGTTAATCAAATCGATTGCTGCTCTTC